AAACATTTTTTAAAAACTGAAAACCTTACTATGAATTTGTTAACTTCATTTTAAAGTGGAAGAAGATTTAGAGGTTATCTAATCTCATCCCTATATTTTCCTTGAGAGGCAACTGAGGCCAGAGGAATTAAATAATTTATTCAAATTGCATAGCTACTTAAAGGCACTTAGAGGATTTTCATCTCAAGAAATTTAGAAAAAGAATCATACCCTGTAGTATCCATTTCCTTCAACTTTTCTAATTAGAATTACTCTGAGCTGTAAAGCTACAAAAGCTCTAAGAAAACACTGATGTCTTCTTGAAGATAAACTAGTAAGGCTTTATGTATATAAATTGTGTGTGTGTGTGTGTGTGTATCTGTGTGTGTTTGTGCTGTGTATCTCTGGGGATCAGTGGACATATCCAATTTATTTTCTCAGTCACCTTGTTTTAGCTATAAGTATAAATAACAAATATTTCATGTCGTTGGCCTATTTTGTAGCTTGACACCCTTTTTTTCTTAGGGATTTGCTTTTTATTCTTTCAGATAATGCTTCATCTGAAAAACTACAAGAAATAAGAGATTAAAAAGCAGAAAGAAGGCATATATCCAGTAACTTTAATAATAAAACACCAGAACTGTATACATCAGCTGTTCTGATGTTTGTGTTTTGAAAAATGAAAAATTATCTCAGAGCAACGTGGTGAAACTTCATTGTATATTGTGATTCCCCTGTTGTAACCATGGCTGATGCCAACACATGTTCTGCATAAGTAGAGAAACACAAATTGAACTCAAAATGCCCCGAGAGTATTGTCCTTCATAACACCCTGGTGTCCCGTGTGTGGCTGAATGAATAACAAATGACCCAGCTATTAAGATACTAAACAAAAGTCATCTAGGCCCATAATATTGATGTAATAGCATCTCAATACTGTATTTGCTTTCATTAGTTTGTGTAGAATAAATCTTTCTATCTAAAAAAGAAATCAAACTGAGCTTGGTGGTAATTGCTTCAGGAATTTTATAAAAAGGGAATCCAGTTGTCTTTTTCGTAGTTTCACATGTTTAATATTACATTACAGATATATTAATGACTATGGGATTGTGCAACTTCCTACTTTATTTTTTACAAGGTCTCATTCTAGATGTTGGTGTTTGTCTTTATGAGTTCAGCTTCTTCATCATTAACTACCAAATTTACAACTAATATGGAATCCATCCAATAGTTGATACATAAAGCATTTATGGCTGTATACCCAGATCTCTTTCAGTACAATTAAAATCAAATTTTCAAATTGATTTGAGAGAGCTTGAATTAAGAACACTCAAGTTTACTATATATGCGTATATATGTGTATATTTTCTTTCTCCATAGAGTCACGATCATGAGGAAGTTTATCATTGTCATTCCTAATGTCAACTCTGGTCCAGGCGATGTGTTTGTTGTACACATATGTGTGTTATATGCGGGATTGTGCCCACAGGGATATTGTAAAATGAACCATACTACTGTTTTCATTGTATTTCATAAATATCTAAGTTATTGAGACATAATAAAAGGTAAACAAAGATTCTCCCGTTGCTCAACATTTATAATAGTTCATCTATGTTTTAACATAGTGGCTCTCGCTACCATGAATATTTTCCCATAATACAGTATTTGAGATGCATTGATGTACTCAGATTCTAGAAGTCCCATGAAAGCTGCATCAATTTACATAGTGCAGGCAGATGTGATGTGAGCACCACATTATATGCAGTAATTTTGTATATTTCCAATCCCTCTTTGTGTTAGAAAAAACATCCTAGTTTAATATTATTGAATTATTACTTACGCTCCAGATTCACTTTAAAAATATTTTTATAGAGGAAAATTTTTTTTTACTCAAATTAACACATATAAAATAGAAAGATTAAGGCACATAAAGACCATGGGCTGCATTTTGCAGGGGATAGGTTCTGGTTGAATGAGATCTGGGATGTGTGCCAAATTAATAGAAAAAATCCTGTTCTTCCTCTCCAATAGCCACAATGTTCATTATTAAAAAAAAGCATACGAACCACAGGATTTGATTTTAATAACACCAATGTCTTCATTAATCTGTACATTCCATTTGGCCTCATTATTGAGCAAATGTTGAATTAATGCGGTATACATTATTGTTGGACTTTCCTTGCAAAACCTCTTTTATCTCTTTTATCATTCATTCAGAGACCATCATGTGTATGTCATGTTTTTAGACAGGCCTGAGGCCCTCAGAAATTGAACTCAAAATTCTTCCATCTAGTCTAGGAGAAGACTTTATGTTTGAGGAATCTGCAAAGGGGTGTGAGAAACAAAACTGCAGATTCCCATTCAAAACCATAACTATTTTTTCTGTCTTTTTTAATGCTGTCATGTCAAGAGACCTGCAACTGAGATGATATTTCCTCGATGGTCTCTGGGCCTCCTTCTAAATCAAGAGTGGTGATAGCCAACACTGCTTTGTATCTGCAGAACAAATAGTGGCCTTTGTCCAGCACAAGTCCCTAAACAAACTTAATCTCTCTAACACTGTGACAGATGACATTTAGATGTCCTTGTTACCCTTAAAATGAGTTTTATTGACAATCAGAGAACAAAAAGAAGGCCCAGATAAAGCCCAATGTTTTATAGGCTTGCTAACAACATCTTAGTCCAGAGGGTGAGGAGAAAGCCTGAAGTTGCCCCCATTTTCCCCTGCTTTGCTATATCACCATGACAACAGATATAGAAATCACTTAGTGACTCCTAGAAAGAAAACACAGTGACACAGTACCCCTTGTATGGCGAATCAAACTAAAGCCTTCATTCAACTGGCTATTCAGCTTGGGCATTCATGTAGAGGATAGGGTGGATTTTACACAGGTAACTACAAGAGAAAGGCCAGCAAGCCCTCCAGCCACAGCATATGGCAAAGTCTCTGTCTAATTAATGCATCCTCAATAGAATTTATCCATTTTAAATTTGTTTTCTTTTGCTTGAAACATCATTAATGTAAAGGGCAACATTAATCAACATCATGGAACTTAAAAGGGCATTAAAGAGTGATCTTTTTCCCTATGCAACAAGAATCTTTTCAAGTAGTTGTGTTAACTGCAGCAGATTCAAGGCACATTCGGAGTTTGTGATCAGAAGGCAAATCTAGAGAGGCCTCTACTGGCGAATCTCTCTCTGTGCAGTTGTCCTTGTGGAACTGCCCTGAAAAAACAAGCAGGAGAATGACTTTCAGCTTTTTTTTATTGGAAAGTTGCACACCAGATGGATGGCCAATGAATATACTGTATAAAACATTGAATAATGGCATTCACACTTTCGAAGCTGTCATGTCTAACTGCTTATTCTCAGGTAATAAAAGGACCCTCAAGCTCTGATGTATGAGCTGCTTGGACTCAAAGAGATGTTTTAAGATTATTCAACAAAGAAATAACAGGTACTCTTTTTTTTTTTTTTTCTTTGTACATAATGCTCCCATTCAAGTTTCGGATTTAAAACCATTTTTATATGAAATTGTATTTCTTGACATTGTTTGCTGGGGAGGCACACTGTTCACACACATATCCATATATTTCCCACAACCAACAAAAAGCTGAAATAAAAACTTTACATGAAACTAAAGTGCCCAAGAAATATTTTGATTAATCAAAAAGCAAAAGTTTACTGCTAAGATTTCCTAGGAAATGTGAACAAAATATAGTTTCCTCAAGTCATATTTAACATGAAAATATCATTGTACTATATTTTCATGAAATTAGGCTGAAAATAGCCTCACTACTTTGTGAAGTCACTTTTGGGGGCGGGGGGGGGAGAAAAGATTTAATTTTTCCACCAGAAGTTGAAAGTTATTTAATTTAATATTTCCTAAGATGAAGAGATTTACGATGTCTTTACATAAGGAAGCTCAGGGACTTTTCTTTTTGAAAAAGGAAGACCTGACTCCATAAATGTCTTTGTTCAAGTGTGGAATATTATGGTGGCACTACGTGTAACCTTGAAACTTTTCAAAAGGCAAAACCCTAATTCTCTTGTTTTACAACATTTATATTTTTATATCTAATATTTTTGAAATCTGATCATACCAAAATACTATTCAAATTACTTTTATTCTCTTATATCTTTCAAAAATTCCATGAGTTATGTTTTGCTGTAATGTCTGATATCTCAGGATCGCTTGCCAGCATATTTTTAGTAGGGTCATTTCACATTTCAGATGTGTACTTCAAATGTTTAGTTGAGATTTTGAGATAAATTTTACCAAGTAACTTTTCATAGGGTGGTTTGGTTAGCATGGCTCAATAAATTACCTTTGGATCACACAGGTAATTCATGATCTTAAAATTAAATTCTGTTAGATGGCTTGAGAATCACTACCTTTTAGTCCCAATAGTGACACCTACTGGTAGAAAGAGAACAAAAAATAGTTTTAGCTTTCTGCTTACTGTTTTAGAGAATCTTACCAGGGACTCTGTTGTTACAAATGTACCTTATTTACAATTTATTTTCAGGTCTTTAAAATACAATTCTATGTTACCAAAAACTGACTAGTGAGGGGGAAAACCCAAACAGAATAATGCAGGTATTTAATTATGAAAAAGAAAAAAAAAAGTACTAGCAGAGGAGTATAGTCAAACTACACCAAATAGTGTAGAGAATATGTAATTACAATCTTTTGAGTTCTTATATATTGTAGAAAATGAGAAACCAAGCTTTAGCAATGGTTTTTCTGAAAGTGCCACATTTCCCAGTTAGAAATGGAAGATGAAAAGGTCGAAATGCTGTAAAAAAAGTACTTAACATTTTTTTGTTTCCACAAATGTTTATTAAATATTCTATATTTAAGAAAGAACAAAATTAATCCAGGAACAAAAAGAAGAATATATGCTTGATAGCAATTCAATTGTCAATAATCTTTGAGGATTTATGCTGATTTAACCAGAAATGCTCTTTCAGAACATGGATTTATCACATGTCATAGAACATTGAAGTCACATTAGAATGTGATAATTTATCCACTGAACTAGAAGCACATGGTTTGCAGAACATTGGCTACAATAAGAACATACTCTGCATCAGAGAGGGTTCAACATCAACAACAATGTCTGCAAAAACAGAATTACAGCTGTGAAGAAGAGGTATGATCTTTATTTCTCCTAGAAGCTTCAGTGAAGCTCCTCTTTAAATTACATTTGCTCTTAATTTATAATGTTATGACACGACACATTCCAGTTTTTCATAAAGCACATGAAGTCTTTAATAAGAAACTGTTTTAGATAATTATCTGAAGACCCACATAAAACTTGTATAGTCTTTTTCTGACTGCTAAGTAATTCACTTGTTAAACTATAAAACACAGTATTAATAATTTTAGAGTTTTTACAGTCATATGAGATAAAAATGGCAGACTGGAAAGAAATATATTTCAACCCAGGTTTAACTGGAATGAGCCTTTTTATGCAAAATGCTTCTAATATTTCTTTTAGGAAACTTTAGGTTTTTATTAATATTTCAGCTTACAAAGAAAATACAGCTATCAATACCCCAAAATATTGTTGGACCTTGAGGATTGTGTCCAGGTGTATAGTAAGGTAGAGAACCATTTAATCCATGATACACATTTATGACTATTTTTGTGATATCACTGAGAGGAAATGTGTGAAAATGTCACAAATTACTCAGCAGACAGTTAGTTATATTGGTGTCTTTGAAACCATGTTTGGCTCTGCTGTGTGCTTTTGTTTGTACAACTTGAGCACATGCTTCAAAATGTCATCCAGATTACAAGCATGCAAGGAATGAAGTATTACTTCTGTGTCAATTTCAGAAGCATACTACCTTTATTTCATTAAATAGCTTATCAGCCAATCATACTCTGTAAAATCAGCAAATTCCTTTCTTGAATTTTTTTGCAAGAGATATTTTATATGTTGTTATTTATGACCTAAAACATATCTTCAAAATTGTTTATGATAATAAATATGGGAAAACAAAGGACTTTTAAACATTATGTAAATTACAACATAAAAAATCAGAAAGCACAACATTTACACAAAATCATTTGGTCAACTTGCTGGCAATTAAGTTGGGATACAATGTGCTCAGGGTGAAAACAAGATCAGAAATTAAAACAAAATAGCCACAAAAAAATTGGAAAAGTTTTGGTTTTGGTTTTGGTTTTCCTGAGTACCTGGACCAGCAATTCAGCTGATCATTAAACACAACCAGAAAGAAAGGCTCTATTTTGCCTTTAGAGAGTTCATCCAGAGACTGCACAAGGGATTTGTACAGAATAAAGCCTCACAAAACCCAAGGGCTGTCAGAGGGAAATGGTATCCAGGAGGACAGGGCAGGCCAAGCATCCTCTCAACAGCAAAGCCACACAAGAGAGCCAGAGGCAGCACTGCGACTGCCAACACAACTGCCTACCACGTCTGCCAAGGAGCCAGAAGCCGCTTGTGGGAAAATATCACTTACCCTTAGCATCTGGGTCCTGTGATTGTTATCCAAAGAGACAGAGTGGTAAGATATAGTGGGATAAACAGCATCCCATTAAAAAGACACGTACACACACATACACACACACACACACACACACACACACGTTATCTTTCTGGGTAAAGAGAGAGATAAGCCATACATGGATTTGGATTAGACTTTCTGTAGTTGGAATTCTTTTAAAGCAGATTTATTCTATATATTCATATTTAGTTATATATTCAGTTATATATTCATATTTCATAATGAGATTGGCTTTAGTAATTACTTCTCACTAACAGCTTTGCTCTGTAAAAAACAGGATTTTAATTGTATTTGTGGTTATTTGAAGATGTGTATAGTCCACTATGAAATTTTTATTTTCTTGGAGTATTTGGTTATAGTTGACTAATAGGATTATTCAAAAATTAAATATTGATTATGAATAAATAAACTAAAGCATGCTCTGCTTTGATGTTAAACTTTTTTTCTTTTTCTTCTCTGGTGTTGTGTCACTATTTTTGAGAGGCCAACTCCTAAAATATATACTCATAAAATAACTGATAAATTCTTATTAAACATGTGCTATACTATAAGCATGTGATACATATCATTATATAATAGATATAACTACGACATATATAATGTTACATATGTATAGTATATTACATATATTTCAGTCTGATAAAGTCCCTTCTAAAATATATACTTTCAATTTACATCTGAATGAATGTTCTTGAAGTTTCCAAATGTGGCAATCTGATTGTATATATTCACTCTGCATCAAAAAATGGGGATGGAGGGGAGGAAAAATCTAACGAATTAAAGATTGGAGACACCTTGTGGTTAATGTAAAGGTTTTAATTCATTCTTATATAGAGAATTTGAAGATCATTATTATTGTAGAAAGTAATAGCCTTCTGTTTTTGAGACTTCAGTAAAAGGGTAAGAAAGGTAGTTTCATTTTAAATATTCTGCTCTGAAACCAAGAACAGAAAATAGTGCAGTTTTAAGTGTCAATGGCAATATAATATACCCAAAGAGAAATTTTTTTATATTTTATTTTATAATATCAATTATATTGTACAGTTTAATGGAGAACATTTGGAATAACAATCCCATTTATGTAGAGAGTGGATTTATTATTAAAACTCTCGCTTTGCAGGAATAAAATTAAAATTTCAGTGGCCTTTAGTGACTAAAAAATATGCATTTCAAGGTCATAAAATCTATTAGATTGCTGCAAAAGTAGTTGCACTTTTTGCCATTACTTTTAATTGCAAAAATCACAATTACTTTTGCACCAACCTAATAGTTGCTTATTTGTGCATGTTATGTGAGATAATGCATATGGAGCAGTATATGCTATAATATGCATAATAACATGCACTTGATTACTTATAAACATGTTTCACATGTGCATAAAATATATTACATGGACATTTAATTTTTTAATTTATATAAATAGCAAAGTAACCTAGGAATGTTTGTCATCTAATGCAAAATGAATACAATGTTCAAAAGAGATAAAAATTTTGTGGAAGTGCAAAACCAATGGTAAACAATTGATATGTTTTTGTTTATTTTTCTTGTTTGTCATCGCACACACAAAGAAATTTGATTCTAATTGATAATCTTTTGATTAATAGATCATTTTCTGGTACCAAATAATTCTCAAGTTGATTCAAATTTAGTTCCATTTTTACAGCATTTTTATGTAAACTAGATAATAATGATGAAAAGTGTTTCTTTTATATTGCTTTTCTATGTAATGGTGGAAGAGTCTGTGAATTCAATTCAATGAGGCTCAATTATGGGAATGAGGAGGAAGATAAGGGAATAAATAGATTCTAAACATTTTATTTCATTAAAAAATTTAAAATGCTCAATTGAAATGTGAAATACGTCTCCAATATTTATAAATACATAAATAATTTATGAATAAGTGCAAAAAATCAGTAAGAATTTATAAAAAGTTTTTGGGCTATGTGTTGTTTCATTTCCCACAAGGGAAACTAACAGCCCCAGAAAGCTGTGAATAAAATCAGAACTACTTTCTCTAGAGTGTAAATGATTACACTCTAAAACTAGAACCTGAAACGCAAATATTTAATTTAATTTTATGATCAAACTACTTTTACATATTTGTTGCATTTGTTATATCTTTTCTTTGAAGCTCTCGTTTATTTCCTTATCTACTCGCCTTTTTCCCATTTCATTTCTAATCCCGAAGGTTTGCATTTTCAATTTTCACTATTTTAATTATATTTATACCATACCTTTAATCTTTAACAGTTTTTTTTAAGTTTAGTTGGTTTATTAACCCACGAGTTTAATTAGGCATTCTTTAACACTGCAAAATGTAGGCCTAGAACATACTATTATATACAAAAGTATTTCATGTAAGTCAGTGTATTAAGACTGTTAAATTTCAACTTACTATAATTACACATGGCAGAACCATTTAACCCTTTTTGATCTTTACATATTAAATTGTGAAAAAAGAAACCATACTCATTTATTAAAGCCAGCACAGTTTACAGCCTTAACTAAATGTTACATAGTCATGATTCCCAGAGATTTATTTTTTCCATAAGATATCAACTGAAGTTACAGAGGACAAGTTATCCTCTCATTCTCTGTGTTCATCCTGTGTTCTTTACAACTGTCCAAATTGTATTAGAATTTGCTTATAATGATGTTATATGATGTCCTTGTTGTGATACCTACATTTCTGGAGAACTTAATATTGATTTACTGTGTCTTTTGCCCATCTTTGAGCAGCCTAGATAGCAATTACAGCTGTTGGTGGTATCTATTTTGTCTTTTCATAATTGTCATTTCATGTTCTACTTAAGATTAAAATATGAAAATTGTACCACGTGCACATCAACAGTGCATTAACCAAGTTATCAGCGATATCTGTGAAACACTATTATTTAACCATGGTTCTTTACATTGCTTCTTCATTTTATTTATGAAAATTGCATGCTACAATATAAACTTGAACAAGAAATACATTCAAAGGTGAGTCTCCCTGACATCAAGTCCTCATCAGGATCATTAGTATCTTCCTAAGAAATCCATGGGGCTTTCCCAATACCTGCTTGCCTCTGCCAAATGCTTTCTCCTCTTCAGACTGGGATTTCAGATAAGCAGGGGCTGCTTTGTTTTTCTTCAGCTCTTACTTTAAAAGAGCCTTCACAGTTTTTGAGCTTTCTCTACTATTCTCATTTCAATCCACATTTCACATAGAAGATGGTATTTTATACAAGGAAAATCATGTTTAAAAGTTATATAGCAGATTTAAAATTTCTTCTTTATTACAAATAGGTCTACCAGGTATAGATTTCTTCAAAGCACTGTTAAGAGCTGTACCAAAATTGAAAACTGTCTTATTTGAAGACCAAATACACTTAATGTGGGGCTGAGAGACAGAAGGAGATAACATTGCCTGGGCTCCTCTCATTAGGAAATGTATTACACAGAAGCTGTAAAATAATTTTAAAATTTTAAGAGGAGAAATTCTTTTGCAACTAATTTTGAACTTTTTCCCTGGTCAATTTATATAAAACATGCAGCTGAAATAACTGAAACACATTATGATTCTATCTTGACTTAACAAGCTTTGAACTTCTCAAGAAAGATTTTTTGTGTTGCACAATGAAAATAAATATTAAATATCAAGATGAAACTGAATAAATATTTGAATACCCTCCCACACACATTCCCCCATACACAAACACACACACACACACACACACACAAATACACATATACTTTCCTACCAGCAGACTAAATCCAGCTAGTTCCTGAAAGGCATTTATTTTGAGAATCACTATTGTTTCATTTTACTACATTCATTTGGAGACTTAAAAAATGACTATATGCAAAGAAATAATAACTGCATCTGCAATCTCTAGCAGCAGCCCCTCCTTACGAGACTGTGTAGGGCATTTGTGGGTGTTGTTATTGTTGTTGTTGCAATCTAGCTAATAAAGGCTTTCTCTTACACAAGAGAATTTTGACAGGGTTGACTCCAGACAGCTTTCCAGCTGAGGTCTGGGGCCTTGCTGAACTTTCAAAATTTTCCCATTTGAGCTGCATCAAAGTGAAGGAAATTCAAGGATCACTAACGTCTCAGATGGTAGCACTTGCCCTAACAACGAAGGTTCAGGAATTCTTTGGAGCAGGCTGAGGTCATTTTTCTCCCCTTTTCTCCTAATGCTTTTCTCTATTAATCAGAGCTCAGAGCTCAGATTGGTCTTCAACTTCCTCCCAATCCTTGCTAAGCCTGTCATTTCTAGCTATTATTTACTTTAATGGACTTTGGCTGATCCCTTATGAAGCTTTGGATCTGAGAATAATAAGGCTGGAGAGCAACGGGCATAGACATGGGTGTGGGTTTGCCTGCAGATTAACCGTGGCAGATGGGCTTTATTGCGGTTTCCTGTGTACTGAGCGTTGATTGAGAGGGTATAATGAGAGAGGTGGTGTCTACACAATGGTCACAGCCACTTCATTGCACTTTGCGTCTAAACAACCCCATTTTTCTAAATCTTTGGGTTGTGAAATTTTAGGAAGTCAGAGCACAAGAACAAGTACAAAAACAACTGTAAATAACCATGAATGTTAATCCAACACTAATTGGTCCCTTCTTTCAGTATGAGTCCATTTTGCTCAGTTTTTAAAATTCTGGGTAAATTAATGGCAAAGATAGTTAAAATGTTCTTGCATTAGGTGGTTTTAGATGAAATAGTGAGCAACATGCATTTTCTGTGTGCTTTTTGTTTGCTTGAGTTTTTGGTTTGTTTGTTTAGTTAAACATAGGCTCTATTTGATTACTGCCACAGACAACAAATGCTTAAGTTGTAATTATTTTATATGCTTTGGGAGTTATGTTGAGGTAAATTATCTATCAACTAGAGAATATTTTAAAAAATAACATCAGGGCAATTGTTTTATTTCTGGCATAGTAAATAAAAAAATGTACTTTTCTTTATTTCCTGCATTTGATGCAAGTTTCTGCTCAGCTGCAACTCACTATGCAATTAAAACATTTTTGTCACAGGTGCTATCTAAAGTTCTTTTACATATTCTTAATTTTTAAGATTTTACTTAATTCCTCCTTTTCATCAATGGATTAAATCACAACTATGGATTCTTTTCTTCCTTTGGGATTTTACCCATCTGTCTTAATGCTTTCATCCTACACCCCTTGGTCTCAGAGGGGTGTTCTGAAAGTGAACCGCCAAAACCTGGAGAAGACTCTAGGTCAAGTTTGTGTACAAGAGTTTAAATTTTTAGTGACAGTCCTCTCTCACGGCCGCCTGAAAGTTTCCACACAGAACTGCACAAGCGAGCACCACCAATTATCCTCCTCCTTTGAAAACCATTATCAAGTTTTTCAAAACTTCTTTCATTTCACTGTTGTCAGTCAGTGAAAAGGAAACTAACCACCATGTCAAGACAACTCAGCTGCCTAGCAACGCAGGGCCACATTTTAATTCTGACTTGCTTCTGGTCTTGACTAATAGAAAGTGACTATGTTAAGCCAGTCACAAGAGTTGTTTGTCACTTCTGAAATGCAAACAAAACTATATTGTTTTCCGAAGTATTGGGTGTGATTGATGTAAAGATTTACAGTAACATCATTCATTTTCTCTTGTGTTTTAGTAGGATTGATGTCATATCTTTTCATGCTTTATTAAATGCTTTAAAAGAGCTCAAAAAACATGACGCTTTTTGTCCTTTAAAGAGTCTAAAGAGGGGTTTTTCTTTCCAGCGAACTAGGCTCTAACAACTTGTGAAATTTAATGAATCTATTCAACTAGTGTCAGTCACATCAATAAATAATTTAATAAGAAACCACCATCCGTGAAGGAGAATGCAATTTAAACAATCAGAGAGAAACAGACCAGACCAAGGTCAACATTACGGGGTGGGGGGAGGAAAAATTGAGCTTTTAAGTCATGAGTCTTAGAGTTTGGTTTATCAGATTTTCCCACAGCCTTGTATTCTTGCTTTTGGTAATAAAAGCTACAAGTTTCTACCAGTGCAATTCCAATGTTAAATCTTTTCAGGCTTAATGTGGAGATATATATAGCAAAAGCACAGTATTTAAATCCCCTAAATTCATATAAAACGGCTATTCAAACTGAGAAATTGTATCTGCACTTGAATGTACTTCTGCTCCAATTGACTGGGAGTCAATTAATAACGTGGAAGGTATCCACTATTTTAAATACTCCTTAAAAGTGCTGATATATCTAGTATTTTATATAAAAATATAATGAAACTTCATTTAGTAGAAATGTGCCAATTTATGTGATTGATATATATGTAAATGAGAAAAAGGTAATGTTTTCCTCCAAAAGAATGTAAGATCTGAGTAGTAAAGACAAATTATAAGCATTAATTATAATTTTCTTGTGACATAATATTCTAAGCAGTAACTCAATAATCATTTAACAAAATGTTTATTAAAAATGATAGCTTAAAAAGGTCAGAATAATAACAAAAATAAGCTGGATGTCACCATCTCGGAAAGGGAGTAAAAAGTTTTTTCTTTCAACTCTGAAAATAATTCAGAATTAAGAGATTGTCTGTTTTCTTAAAACATTAATCATATTCTGAAATGGGATCTAATGATTAAGTAGGACAAAAAAGGCGTAGTCTAAAACTTGTTAAAACATAATAAATATAAGTTTTAAGATGAATAACAAGCATTGCATATGAAGAAGAATGATTGGTGTTAAGGAAAAGAGATTATTTTATCTTGAAGTAGAAATCTTAAAGAGCTTTAAAATACTTAATTCATTAGCTATATTTTGTCTAATTAGCCTATATCAACACTGAATATAAACTCAAAGAATATGATTTTTATTTGAAACAGAGTGGTTTAGGCTCCATGTAAGAATTTTTTTGAAATTGTTACATTCTGGTAGCACTGTGATGCATTGAAATATGCCTAGCTTTGGATGTCAGATCTGGGACTGGGACCCATGTTTCCTGTCTTCAAACAAAGGCAAATTATGTACTATCCTAGAGCTTCACTTTTTCCACCTACTAATGAGTATAAGAACATATTCTTCATGGGCCATTGGGGTGATGAGAATATCTGGCTCATCAAAGGACTCAATATTAGTATAGGTAGTAATAGGAATGGTAGAACATGTTGCTTAAACACTCACATTCACAAACTAAGCTGCCTTGGTACTGGCTGTGTGACCTTGAGCAAATGTCTTGCATTTTTTGGATCATCAGTAACTTCATCTGTAAAATGAGGCCAATAATACTACCTATATCTTAAGGCAAGAGTAGACATTAGCCAATTTATGCAGAAATATTGCATATAAAGAAATTAAAAAGCACTTACTCATAATTGCAGGTGATCAATTAACCAATACTAGTTGTTCATATTGTAATTATGCTTGTGTTAATGTTATTTTTCTCAGATGTTAAAAATAAATAATTTAGCTCCTCACATTTTTTAATGATAAACCAAAATTAAAGGCCTTGTTTCCAGATTGGTAAGTAGACTTAACTACCAAAGTCCATTCCATAACAGAAGAAATGGAAAGATATAAGTGAGCTTTTAAAATGTTGATTATTTTATCTGAATTAGTTTTTAACCAGATATTGTCTTGAAATACAATGGAACATTACTGCAGCATGTCTTGGCAAAACTTAAGATATTCCAGCTCTACATCAAAGGTGCTTTGTCAACTATGTCTAATTATTTTATACAGTCAATTATTATGTGGTACCAGTAATAGCAAGAGACAATAGTAGGCACACAATCTGATAGCTTGAAGCCCAGTCTTAGTTTTCTCAGAATTTCCAGTAGAAGCACGTATTTATGAGCTGAAAGCAGCCTATGGATATGTTTTGTTTGTCCTACACAGAGTTTTAAATTGTTATTATTGAACTGATTGACAACTTCTGAACTTTAGATTTTCCATTAAAATCCAGATTCCTAGGTGCTATTTAAAAATCAGAAGGATGGCAAGAGTGAGACTGTTGTAGCAGTGTTGGGTAGTGGCTGAGTGGCTGTAGGATTTTTTTGATGAGGTCTGAATTCTCTACTTCATCTTTGTCAGCAGTGCTTTCTCCACGTACTATGAGGTACATCCATCTGGATTCACCTATTTAAGCTACGTGCCTAGCCCCCAGAGGCATCCACACTTTTAGCATAAGAACTCAAATGAGAAATCATGAAGAATTCATTAGCTGAATCCAACATCACCTACAGGACCCTGGGCCCATTGTATTACTTTGTATTACTTTTCCTTTAGTATCTTCATAGGATCTTAATCTTTTTCCTGTCACTGTATATAATTTTTGTTTGTTTGTTTGTTTCATTTTTTTTTTCCCCTGGCTGGATAGAGAAGGGATTAAGTCACAAATGAGGAGCTGCAGTGGCCCATGAACAATACATAGATCCATCTCCTGGAACTTGTGACCACTCGCCCAGGATCGCACTCATGACCACAACAAAGATGATGGCTTTTCTGTTTCTCCTGTTGCACCACATCAGACACCTGCAGCAAATACTGAGGCGACACTATGTGAAGTCTGCCTAGTGACTCTTAGAAACTCCAACTAATGACTTCTCTGGGAGGGATAAAGTTGGGCACATAAAATTATCTTGTTGAGAATACATGGGTACATTTATAGTCTCACATATATTTCATTTATAAATTTAAAATTATTTTAGACAGTTACAATTTTTGGAGTAAAAATAAGTAGAATAATATCATTTAAATAATACTTTTAAACTTTTTCATATTTTTTCTGAATACCTTGATTAACATTTATTTGGTCACATTATTTGTCCCATTTTTTAAAAAGAAGGACAATAGGCTATGAGAAAGTAAGTACATTTGAGTTCCAATTATTCTTAATATGTTGTATCATAGTATTTCATTTGCAACGAAGTCAGTTACACAGCAAACTAACCAACTGCATAAATAAAAATAATAATATGAAACTAGAAATTGACATTTGAAACTCTTAACTACCATCAGTACCAAATATACTTTTGGTTATCTTGTCAAATTATAGGGATGAGTGGCTGAGACCATGCCGGTATGTTTGTTAGGGTTGAATGGAGTGCTAGAGTGTTGCTATTGGCCTTGAAATAGATTGATTTTTTTTTCTTTTTTTTTTTTGCCTTCTACCTGGGGTCATGGTCTCTGCCTTACTTGCACAGGGTCCTCATTATCAAAGCAGATTATCTGACACATATTATACAATATGTTAAATAGCTTACTTTAAATATACACACTTTCACCATATTCAAACGTGAGTACTCAGAACTTAAAAACACAAGATTTTATTAAAAACAATTTTAATTAAAAATAAAATTGTGTTTTAAACTTTATGTGTTTCCTAGCCTTTTTAAAAAATAAGCGTTCTTATTTAACAGTATATAATGCTATCAACCAATAAGTTTAAAGTAAGTATCTGTTTAAGGAAATTTCTTCATAAGAAAATATACTGAATTTTCATATGGTGTCTAGCTGCACTTTTTTTTAGTGCTTTGTTCATTTCCTGTCACAAGATGTTAATTTCAAAGAAACATTTGGTATCACTGAAATGGCTTTAAACATCATTTTTCAAGCCACAGAAATTGTTTTTGTGATAGCGTGCCTGTTGAATACCATTGCCAGAATATTTAATCACACTTGTCATGACAGAAAAAAAATAGTCTTGATGTAAGAAAAAGATTTCTAAAGGTTTCAATATCCAGTCAATGGGTTAGCTTTTAAAGCTTATATCTACATCTAGATATAGAATTCCTATTCCCAAATTTAATCTAGACAGTTATTTAAAAGGAAATATAAAGGAGTCTGTCTACTTTCTCATTTGGAAAGAAAAATGTGAAATAAAATGCATGAAAATTATTTGTAAGTGGGATGATGATTCCAGATGGAGCCTTTTGTGCGTAAATAGTTATAAGCATTCATAGACTCTAGATTTGGAAGACATTTGGAAATCATGTAGTGCAACTTCACAAACAACGGGGGAGACAGCACTCTAAGTCATCCCCCACCCCAGTGGGTTGCTTTCTGGCTCCTTCCAATAAGGGGAAGCTCGCTCTGTCTCTCTCTCTCCTCTCTCTCTCTCTCTCTCTCTTTCTCTCTCTGTCTTTTTTAAGGAAGTCTGTTTCCTTGAACTGCTTCAGCTGGATTTTTGGGTGAGCCAAAGTTGCCTTTCTCTGGCTTCCTAAGTCTCTCTTCACAACTATATGGCTTCAATACAAGGAAGGTGGAGCAAAAAAAATGTCAGAGCCATTGGTCATGCCACCGTTGCAAAAATCTAATGTGATGTTTCACCAACAGCACACATTCAATAGTTACAAGTGAATATTTATACATAAATTGGATTGTTCTGTACCTACAGCTTATTTGTTTCAAGGTAATTATAATGTCATTCTCCTCCTTCACTTTGCCTAAAGAGTCCTGTTAATGAAAGGACAGGATAGAAATTCCTAAGAATGTCAAATCCCTATTCAATCACTATTCTGCTTCTTCTTCCCTTTGCTTCAAAATCTAATCATATCTCCTTATGCTCACCAATAGATGGGGCCAAATTAGGGGTTTTTTTGGGAGGTGGTAGTGAGTGCATACATACATTTGAATCATTCACAGTGGTGAAAGGGAGAAGGAAAGTCAAAGCTTCAAGCCCATTTTATCCTTAAAAATGACATTGAGGCCAGAGTTGTCTGAGCCCTGTGCAGCCCCAGTCAGGATTTGCTGAAGGTAGCTGTGCTCCTGTTTTGTGTCGTTTATATAAAATTATCTTCTTGTCAAGATATCCTCAGGTCATTATTTAGTTTAATAAACATTTCAGAATGCCTAGTAGATGTTAGGCATTTCATCAAGTACTGGGAATAAAAAGTGAATGAGACATAAACCTCATCCTGAAGTTGTTTACAACCCACTGAAAAAGAAGAACATATAAACAAATACTTTTGATTAAAAAATACCCTTAAATAGACATTAGCACATGGGGTCATCTACAGGAACAGCACATGACTCTATCACAGATGGGGTCAAATGAGGGGTTCGTTCACAGGGTAGTTGATGATTTAGTACAGCGACTTGAGTGTAGTCCACGGACATTAGGATGAATCACATCTGTAAAGGTCTGCTGGTATTAAAAATAGACTGCATGCTGGAGGAATAGCAAATGATCAGCATGGCTGAGGCAACACAGAGAATGCTGATAGAAATATGATTAGGTCGAAAAGGTTTATGTTAAGGTTATTAACGTAAAGTAATAGTTTCCATTAGCAACAAGTTATTTTAGTCAGATTATAAATGCACATTTAAAAAAAAATAGGTTGAGTTAATCAAAAGAGCTTGTTGAATGTTTTTTCTGTGAGTATACTTTGCCCAAGAAAATGTTTATTTACATGTGAAAGAGGATGAGCTAATTGGTAACACATATATTACATACAAATTTTAGCTAAATAGATGAATGTTGTGATGTTTTTAATACTAATAAAAAATTCCATCCTGTTTACCATAAATAGAGGGTTGGTAAAATGAATTTTTAATTATTCATACAATGGAATACTATGGATTCAGTAAGATAAGGATCTGGAAAAATATTGGATTCTGTAGAATTGATAGTCATTACACAGACTGTTGGAAGAATAAAAGCAATAAAAGCAGATTCCATAACAAACAGTTGATCACAACTTTTTTTTTTTTTTTTTTTTTGAGACAGAGTCTTGCTCTGTCGCCCAGGCTGGAGTGTAATGGTCCGACCTCAGCTTGCTGCCAGCTCCTCTCCTCCCGGGTTCAAGCAATTCTCCTGCCTCAGCCTCCTGAGTAGCTGGGATTACAGGTGTACACCACCACACCCAGCCAATTTTTGTATTTTTAGTAGAGACAAGGTTTCACCATATTGGCCAGGCTGGTCTCAAACTCCTGACCTCAGGTGATCCACCCCCTCGGCTTCCCAAAGTGCTGGGATTACAGGTGTGAGCCACCATGCCCAGCTGGATCTCAATTTTTAAAAAAATATACATTTATTTATACAGAAAACACCTTGAAATATGTATTAAAAGTATATTGGTGGTGGTCATCTCAGGGTGGTAGAATTGGGAATGATCTGAACTTTCTTATCTTTAGAGTATCTGTTTAATTTTTTCTACAATAAAGTTTTTTAATATAAGAAAAAAATAGTTGTTAACACTCAAGGGATAAAATAAAGTGTCTAGCTGTAACAAGGACCATTTTCAAGCAGTGATTCCCTGTTCAGTCTTCAAATGTAGATAAAGCAGCAGAATTATGTCAAGGTGTTTCAATTAGTCTTTGGACCCAACACTCAATGTGGCTGTCCTTATGGTGGTCTGACTAGGTATTATTCAGTCCATGAAACACAATAAGGACAATTCTGTCCAGAAAGGTGCTTCTGTGGTTAGATAAATCTGGCCAACAAGAAAGCATTGGTTGAAGTCCTCTGTAACCTTCTGTCACTCATTGCATGTGTATAGTTTTAGGTACAACTTATTGTTCAACTATTTACTTTGTTTTAATAATTGTAAATGATAAAACATATACTTTATGTATTTATCACTGTAGCAGTTATCTCAACGGCATGGAGTTCCTTTCTATCATCCATGCCTTACTTGGAAGACTTGCCAAACATTTTTCTGATTTATTTTATTTTGTTTAGATTGAAAATTTTACTGTTTCCACTGAGCAAATAACTCAAACAAAAAATAGTTGTTTTTTGTCATTTAAAAGAAAATTATCTTCTTGTCAAGATGTCCTTAGGTCATCAGATAAATTCAAACCTGTGTTTTATAGTGACTTTGAAATATTACTAATCAAAATACTCCTGCTTTTAAACAGATTTAAATATATATGTGTGTGTGTATATATATATAATATATATTTTTACATATATATATATTTGTTTTTTAAATGGAATCCTTGCATCTACTGCCATGGTAATTTTTGAAAAAACATTTTAAGTGTGATTTATCATACTCTATATGTGTCTCAAAAATGAGCATCAGTACTTGATAGAGCAAATACTATTAAAATGTTACTTCACTTTTGAGTGCTTTTTTGGACATTTATCAAAAGGGCAGTCATAAATCATCATTATATTCCTTTTTAAGCAAAACTAAGAAGCAATACATACAGTTTGTACACCAGCAGTTTCATCCTCTCTTCATGTTGTGGCAGATTAATACCAGCTTAGCCCAAACATCCAAAGTTATGCTGTTGGCAATGTAGCCATCTGTTTTTAATGAATATCTGGGGTCCATTTTTCAGTTAAGCTTCTCTTATTGTGTGTGTATGTTGCATTTTCAGCGCTATCTGCATAATTGCTTAAAGATTTTACTGCAAAATTAATATCCTTGCTGTGAACAAGGGAAAAAGGCAAAAACCAGGATGACAGAGCCTGAGATGAGGTGAAAAGCAAATCCAATTTTTCCTTGCACCATAGAAACCTCGTCAGGACTAGCTTTATCTGGTAATCCACATTTAAACTTTAACCTGTAGGGGGGCTCTTTGTGTTAGATAATGTAAGCATAAAAGGAGGCTGAATCACTAATCAGATTAATCATATTTTGTAAGACTCAAAAGTTTCATTAAAAGGAACTGGTATCCAAGTTACACATTTTTGTTGTTGTTGTTGGCAGAATAAGAGTTTATCATTAAAAAAAGAATGACACGAAAATACTCAAATGTCTGCAAGTTTTAGTGAACCTACAGCAAACAAGACCAAAGGACAAAATCAAATCCTAATTCATAAAATTACTTTACATCCCAACAGAGTCAACACATAGATTACTTCAGTTTCTTCATATTTTAATCTTAGAAGATAATATTTGATACAGATTGTGACAGCTATTATAATTTTTTTTCATATTTTGAGGAGTAATCTTCCTCTAATATCTACATTATATACATTTATAAATTATATATTATATATGAATTATATATAAATTTAACACATAAATGTGTAAAGACTACCAGTTGATGATTTATTATTCTAAACTATTTCTCAAAGGCCATTTCTCTCATTTTGTAAGTTGGTTGCTTAAAGGAAGAAATTTTTTTGGAAGTAGGGAACTTTCTCAAGAGTAACATGGAAAAGAATGATCTTTGTAGGTCCAATATTTTATAAATTGTGAATCAAAGGAATGTAGTCATAACTTTATTTCGTTTATTGAAAACGAGGGAAATAAAAAATGTTATTATTTTTGCAAGCAAAGCAAACCTTTAGAAAAATTATGTAGTTGATAGTCTATAGCATGACTAGGTAATTGTGGCAGAAACGCAATTGTGTGTATAA